CAGATCATACACAGCCAGTCAGCCACTGGTAATAGCTGTATCTTTTTCTTACAGTGTTAAGTGAAAATATCGCAACGCACGTATCGTGATGCATCGTGATAAAATCGCATCGTTGCATGTGAATCGTGATTGGAATCGAATCGTGACTTCTTTGGCAATGCCCACCCCTAATGAGTATCACAATACTTGGGTCACGATACGACATTATCATGAAATTGCAATATCATCATATATTGTAATATTCAAAGAGCTAATACTAAAATTAAAAGTAAAGATAAAAAAGCAAGTGCTGTATATGCTGATCAGAAGATATTGATCATTTAGTCATTTTGTTATGTTGGTAGCCATATTTTTTGGGGTTTGTGTCAATCCGGGCCTGCAACTGCGACTGCCTTGTTTATGAAAATTGGTGCTCTACCACACAGATATACAGGTGCTGGTCATAAAATTAGAATATCATGAAAAAGTAGATTGATTTCAGTAATTCCATTTAAAAAGTGAAACTTGTATATTATATTCATACATTACATACAAACTCATATATTTCAGATGTTTATTTTGTTTAATTTTGATGATTACAAATGACAACAAATGAAAATCTCAAATTCATCATATCAGAAAATTAGAATATTACTGAAGACCAATAAAAACAAAGGATTTATAGAAATGTTGGCCAACTGAAAAGTATGAACATGAAAAGTATGAGCATGTACAGCACTCAGTATTTAGTTGGGCCTCCTTTGGCCTGTATTACTGCAGCAATGCGGCGTGGCATGGAGTCGATCAGTCTGTGGCACTGCTCAGGTGTTATGATAGCCCAGGTTGCTCTAATAGTGGCTTTTAGCTCTTCTGAATTGTTGGGTCTGGTGTATTGCATCTTCTTCTTCACAATACCCCATAGATTTTCTATGGGGTTAAGGTCAGGAGAGTTTGCTGGCCAATTAAGAACAGGGATACCATGGTCCTTCAACCAGGTACTGGTAGCTTTGGCACTGTGTGCAGGTGCCAAGTCCTGTTGGAAAATGAAATCTGCATCTCCAAAAAGTTGGTCAGCTGCAGGAAGCATGAAGTGCTCTAAAACTTCCTGGTATGTGGCTGCGTTGACCCTGGACCTCAGAAAACACAATGGACCAACACCAGCAGATGACATGGCACCCCAAACCATCACTGACTGTGGAAACTTTACACTGGACTTCAAGCAACGTGGATGAAGTGCCTCTCTTCTTTTCCTCCAGACTCTGGGACCTTGATTTCCAAAGGAAATGCAAAATTTACTTTCATCAGAGAACATGACTTTGGACCACTCACCAGCAGTCCAGTCCTGTTTCTCTTTGGCCCAGGCAAGACGCTTCTGACGCTGTCTGTGGTTCAAGAGTGGCTTGACACAAGGAATGCGACAGCAGAAACCCATGTCTTTCATACGTCTGAGTGTGGTGGTTCTTGAAGCACTCACTCCAGCTGCAGTCCACTCTTTGTGAATCTCCCCCACATTTTTGAATGGGTTTTGTTTCACAATCCTCTCCAGGGTGCGGTTATCTCTCTTGCTTGTACACTTTTTTCGACCACATCTTTTCCTTCCCTTCGCCTCTCTATTAATGTGCTTGGACACTGAGCTCTGTGAACAGCCAGCCTCTTTAGCGATGACCTTTTGTGTCTTGCCCTCCTTGTGCAAGGTGTCGATGGTCGTCTTTTGGACAACTGTCAAGTCAGCAGTCTTCCCCATGATTGTGTAGCCTATAGAACTAGACTGAAAGACCATTTAAAGGCTTTTGCAGGTGGTTTGAGTTAATTAGCTGATTAGAGTGTGGCACCAGGGGCCATCAATTTTGAACCTTTTCACAATATTCTAATTTTCTGATATGATGAATTTGAGATTTTCATTTGTTGTCATTTGTAATCATCAAAATTAAACAAAATAAACATCTGAAATATATGAGTTTGTATGTAATGTATGAATATAATATACAAGTTTCACTTTTTAAATGGAATTACTGAAATCAATCTACTTTTTCATGATATTCTAATTTTATGACCAGCACCTGTAGAGTGTCCTCAACAGGAGGGGTAGTGTGGAAGTTGTGCATTTATCCCCATTGTTTTCGAGAAAAAAGTTTTGTTTAAAAAAAAAAACTAAATTAAAAGCTAAAAGATCAATATTATATTGACCGGCCGAAGATCTCAATATATCACCAAATCTTTTTTTTTTTTTTTACCAAACCTCTAGCAGTGATGGAGACTTGGTCGTCTTTAAATCCTGGATGTTTGGAATAGTTTGGAATATTTCCAGCTCATGGCATTCCAGTTTGCTTTCTTTTTATATTAAGTATTACCAATTTGAACATTTGGGAGCACAAACCACAAGCTTTTATAGAGTCAGGCGGTCCAGATGTGCAGCCCTTAGGTCCATTTATTGAATTGTACAAATGTAGCCTCAAGTGAGCTCATTTTCTAGGAACAGCTATCGACTTATAGTAGCATTGAAACCAGCATAAAATAAATTAAACATTTTATCTTTAGAGTCTTACTTGTTGCCTTTTATTTTGAATTCTGGGGTTACTTGAGAAAAACAACTTCCCTGCAACTATTATGTAAATCTCAATTGCTTTTTCATCTTTATCTTGAGAACAAATGCAGCCATTTTCCGATTTGCACTTTGAACAAGTTTCCCGTTAGTTAGTTAGTTAGAATGTGAATATGATGTAATGTAGTTTGAATGACCACAAACAGACTGGCTGGAGCTTATCTTACACACCCATGAGAGCAGCCTCTGAAAATCAAACTAAGGGCTTTACTGTAGCTATTGATGTGCAATAGAAACAAAAGCTTTACATTATTTGTTTATTTTATCTTACATATTGGGTATTTGATGAGTTTTCTTTTTTTTTTTTATCTTATTTCAGTTCAATTTTTAAGAGATTCAAACTCTTCCTGTCCTGAATGAGGGCTTGACCAACAGGAAGTATGGGCAGTTTGACCTAAAAGCATCTTGAGACCTCGTTCTCTCCTGCCATCTTGTCCCATGAGCTCAAAAACCTTTTAAACATGCAACGGGTCACTAGAGTGTGAAAAGGATTTTTCTTATCACTCTTGATGAAAGACATTGTCACAGGTCTCTCATTTCGTGTCAGACTTTAATGGATCCTAATAATGGAGGAACAGATTTAACCCCCAGCAGAAAACTCCTTCCAATGGAGGCTTTTCAAAGCTAATTTCTGGAAAGAATAGCATGCGTGTTGAAGGTGGTGTTGAAGGAGGTGTTTTCGTCTCTCCTTTTGAGTCAGGACATGAGGGGTTTGATATGCGTGCATCTCATGCTGTCCTGTCAGTGTAGAGGCTGGCAGGCAAGCAGAAGATGAGTAGAAGGCAGGGAACGCTGTGAGGCCTGCTATTACTCTGTCTCTTCTGTAAGTGCACCCATCTGCATCTCCAAAAGGAAGTTAAATGGATAAAAGCAGACATTTTTCTCTGGGAGGTTTTAGCTTTTGTGTTTGTTTACTATGTGGAACTAATTGTCCTGTGGGCATTTTAGGCTTCTACCATTTGTTTTTATGTCCTTTGCGTGTCTCACTTATTATGCCAGTGGATCGAGTGTAATCAAGCAGTATGCTTAAACAGATTCCTCTTTTCTTCCTTCCTGTTGCTGCTAGTATTGTAAGAGAAAAGTGGTGGCACATCCTTCTTGTTAGAAAAAAAAAAAAAGATGGCTGCTCTGTTCCTTTAGAATTTAATAACAATGAACTACTGTGCTTGAAAAATATATTGTTGTTCTAAGAAGGGTCTGCACGCAATGAGGAAAATATGTGCAATGTGATTATATTGGTATATTTTTTTGCGGTTAATGTAATTATTTTGGGGGTTTAAAGCACAGACAGATGATTTCCACTGTATCTCAACAAGCATTGTTGAAGAAGTTTCATGTCTGAATTTGCTGCTCTTTGCAGCAACTTGTGTAAAAAAAAAAGGCATTTAATTAATGCATAAATAGGTTGAATGTAAGGCATTTCAATTATTAAATTACATTTATTTTAATGCATGTAGCTACGTTTAATATGCATGTAGTGTATGTTTGGTAGGTATCTCTATCTATGCCTTTTTTTTTTTGTTTTGTGTGATTGCTCAATCCGATTGGCCACAGGGTGTCTGAGAACAGCATTTTTTTTTTTTAACCAAAAGGTTATCAGTTGGATTCAGGGACTAATCAGATCCATTCACAACATATGGATATGCTATAATGAAAGCCAGTAGGATTTCAGGTGATGAGCTAATTAATTCTCTATGAGTTGTTCAAAGTCTGGGATGTTGTTATCTGATGTTGTTACCTCATCTGTCTGACGGGTTATGTTTGATGCTGTTCTTTCCTCAATGCTATTTAACAAAAATCCAGAATCCTAACAAAACATCTGGATTTTTACAGAGAAAAATACACTTTCCTTTTAAGGTTTTAGTAAATCCTGCTTTTAATTTTGTTTTTAGATGCACAAAAAAAAGGTTCCTTAATAAAAATATACACCTTATATCTTTGCAAATAAAGTATATTAAAGAAAATTATATTTTAACAGTTTGCCTCCTGCTAAATGTGGCAGTGCACAAAGCAATTTGAATACATTGGGTAGCTGCTGTAAATTCATGGAATTTAGGAGGGAATTTTTGACCAAAATTGTCTTTAGCTCTGTACTGTTTGGATGTATGTCTGCTTGAAATAACAAGTTAAATAATACAATAATACAAATATGTTTATATAATTGCATTGCACATCAGCTGTCCATTTGGTACCTATGAATATAATACAATTATATTTATACTTCAGATGCACAGTATTTATATTATATGTACAGTGCAGTATTATGTTTGCTATTTTTGTTAAGCTGTCACTTTTAAACTGTTATTTTTATGTACTTTTTAAGCTCCACATTTGTGTGACAACTTTTGCCATCATCTTTTGCTGCTGTTATATTCTATTCTATTCTAAGTAATCATTTTGCTTGTTTTCTTGTACACAGGCAGCCTCATAAGAAGCCCAGCACAATGTCCCAGGACTCCTGGGAAAGATCGTATCCATCATCCGAGGATTTCCAGACGCCTAAGGAGAACCCTCGTCTCTCTATGGGCCCGGGCTCTCGTAACGGCTTCACTGGAAAACCCAATCTAAATGCTCGGGTCCTCCTAGAGACCCAGGAGTTACTGAGGCAGGAACAAAGACGGAGGGAACAGGAGGCGAGGAAAACCAGGCCATCTCCTGCGCAGGAGCCCCCAAACAGCAACAGCAGCAGCAGCGCCTACAACCACAGCGCAGACCACAGCCAGGCCTCTGCCACAGGACATGTACCGACACCACAGAGATCTAAAGGCCCCTACAGGCAGGACGTTCCCCCATCACCTTCCCAGCTGGCCAAACTCTGCCACCGCCAGGGCTCAGAGAAGGGGAGGTTTTTATATTCCTGAGACGGGGAAGAGTAAAATGATCCGGACTGATTGGAACAAGCAATGTACACAGCATAGACGCATCATGGGCAACAAGTCTGTTTTTTTTTTATACCTTTATAAATAATATTTTTTATTGGTTGGTTGTTATACATTTTTGATATTTCAAAGAAAGATTTTTATAATATAAATTTGATCCTTTGTAGATGTAGCGAAAGCTAATGGGAGAGGTTTTATGGTTCAGCGTTGTTTTATATATTTGTGTAAAGGGCCGTTTTGGTCGCCTTTCTACTCATCACTACATCACAAGGTAAAAAAAGCTGGTTCAGCTTTAAGCAGCAGACTGATTTAAAGATAGTTCAGGTCCCCACTGATGTCTTTGTTGTTTTAATGTTTATTTGAAAATTTGTACTTTCATGAAAACGTCATTACTCATTGTGTTTGTGTGAGTAGAAGTGTTGGCAGGAACCAACATGCGGAGAAACGGAGCTGAGGGTAAGGAGCTTGTGTGAACTGTTCAGTCGGAGCAAGGATTTTAGTCCTACCACCCACCCCTCCTGTTACGCTACGCTTCAGGGAAATGCCCATTTTGGGTTTCAAAAAGCACTCTTCCTCTGAACTCCCCCGATCCACACCCCTCACATTCACTATGATAATCCTAAATTCTCTCTTCCTTTTGGCTGGCTGCTTTATCTCGGCGTTTTCTCCTCACCCTGTCACCCTCATCCCTCTGCTCCCTCCGTGGAAGAAAACAGCTTTAGATCTTCTTATTCTTGCTCTGCTTCACTCACCCAGGGACAACCAGCAGAACAAAACAGGGTCAGCTCTGGGTTATTAATTAATGTGTCGAGTCAAAAATAAATGCGGTCCTCTGTGTGTGTTTGCTGTCATGCTCGGAGAGGGAGGTGAGACCGCCTCTGGCTCCACCTAGAAGGATTGGTTGTGACCAGAGCTCGCACTAGGTGTCAGAGCTGTTTCTCCTTGAATATTTCATCACTACGGCTCCTTAGGAGACCACATCAGCTGTGCAGTTGGTACCTATCTGTAGGCCACTTACAATAGAGCTGATTTTGTTTTCCCTCTTGATTGGGAGCATTCATAAGAAACCCCTCAGGAGCCCTTTCTTTGTTCAGTCAATAATAAGTAGTGTGTTTGTTTTTCATTTCTAAGCTCCTTCTTATATTTCCATACTTAGCATATGGGGACACACAATCTGAGGCCACTTTTTGCAGAGTGTCAGATAAACGATTTATTTCAGGTTAAAATAAAGGATTAAAGATTTTTTTCTATATTACTGACACTTCGACAATACTGGTCTGAATGTTTTATCTAATGCACATTTTTTAGGAACAAACATAAGTGTTTGATTGTGTTCAGGGTTTTATTTGATACATAATAAGGAGGAGTGTACTTACATATAACTAATTTGTGGAGATTCACTGATGTGGTTGCTTCTGATCACAGATTTTTCTTAAGATAAGACCTGCCAAGACGGATTTATTACTTTTTAAATACTATGAATGCGAATAAAACAAAACCATAAAACATACATATTTACATACATACATATTTTCTTAAAACATTAATTGTTTGTATGTTTTCTTTTAGATTCTGGCCAGAGGTAAAGGGGTTATCTGATTGAAGATACCTGTTATTACTTAAGTTTTGGGTATTCACTGATTGTAAAATAAATCATCGGTTTTCTCTGATCTCGGCCTGTAAATCATAAATGTGTTGATTTACTTCACCAGCTAATTTCTCTGTGGATCAATGTCATTTATGAATGAAATGTTACATCATGATTATAACAGATTTCTTCAGGAGACACAAACATTAAAATTCAGATTTCAATGTCAACATTTTAGTCCTAAAACACTCTTATAGAGATTCAGGCAAATGCTTTGGATTTCTTTGGAAAGATGTTTATAAGGTCTTGACATCAACTCTGGTTTACTTCAGCAGAATAATTTTACCCAAGTTTGATTTGTCAAAGCTCCAGCTTTTTATTTTGAGTACATGCATTCAATGTGGGGAAAAACACTGGTGTTAAGAAACAACTGACTGTAGCTCTATAGAATTACTCTGGTTTACCTAAAATGTAACTTGCCCGCAAAAACACAGTTTATTTTCTGTTTAAACTGTATAAACCTGGTCTTTAGGGTGCTACTATTATTGTTTCTCCTATTTTATTATTTCTAACAATTAGTCCATGAATCTTTATTTAATTGTATTGTTTTTGCAATGTTCTTACAAAACCATCATTGCCATAAGAGGTTATACAGCAACTAGTGCAGTTAAATTCTCTGCTGGTTAAAATGGTACATACTGGTATTGGTCAAGTCATTTATACACTTTTATTATCATAGGCCCCCTTTTAGGTATAAATATAACTTACTTAGAAAAACTGAGATTTTTTTTTACTGACTTGGCTTCCCTTAAGCTATGATGACAAGACGGGTAAAACAACTTTACCTAAAATGGTTCTATCCATCCCATAATTCATAGCCTGGGTGCCATTCCGAACTTAGTCCCGCCCACAACGTTTGAGGTTGGGAAGTTCGGTCTGGCATTGCTCAATAGTAGCGCGAGTATGCTCGCACAATATCTGGCGAGCCAATCAAATTGTCAGGGCGGGCTTTATACGATGATGGACAGATGATCAACAGTAACGTAATCAACCACGTCATCAAAGGGCGCTTGGGCGACACAACAATGGCTGGCGCTGGAGAGTTGAGGTGTGTAGATTCTGCTATTAGGTCTGTTCTAGAAGATATCGACAGCAAATTAATTTTAAAAAGGAACAGAGAAACGCGATCAAGGCTCATCTTCTTATTCTAGGCGTGCAACTGCACGCTTTGATTTTTGTTGACAACAACTATGCGTCGCTTAACATACGTCACGCACTCCGTTGCTCTTATTGGTTGTCGGTCTATCCAATTGAGTGCAGAGGCATTTTTTTTCCTGGTTTGTTCGAAACATGCCCCATAATCACAGCTCTATGGAGCAGCATCAGACTCATATTCTGACTTGAATTGAGTAGGACTACGTCAGGCTACATAATTCATCCCATACTTCAATAATGCTAGGCTAGGCTCAGCTAACTGTCACTTCCTCTTCTTCTGACTAGACCCCTGCCAATCACCGACCACTTATTCCTCGCAATTAGCCCCAGACTCTCTTAGAACTCACCAACCAGCTCCATCTTTCTGGAGGTGTGGTTATTGTTTTATATCGGGGTGAGTTACACTTTAATTATTTTTTAGCAGTGGGTTTCCTACACATTCGATGTTTGAAATTCCCTTAGTCTTTGTCTCATCTAATCAAAATTTCTTGTTTCCTGATGTTCTTACCCTAACATGTTATTCTTTGCTGCAGATGTTTAAGAGTGATCTTTGGAGTTTTTTTTTGTTTTGTTTTTTTAAGTTCAAAGTTTTTAATAGGTTTACCAACACATCTGTAACAAAAAATCTACCAGGGTTTTATTGTCATTACAGTGTCACAAGTGCAGAGCAACAAAATGAACTCTCTGCATTCAATCCATCCCCTGTGGGGAGCAGTGGGCTGCCATTGTGCAGCGCCCAGGGAGCAGTGTGGGGTTAAGTCTTGCTCAGGGACCACAAGTGATAGTCTGTGGGAGTTGGGCCTGAACTCTAAACCTCTGGATTCTAAGCAAAAACCTCTAGGCCCCCACTCCCCACAATGGTCCATTATAAGATGACAATATGGCAATAAGAAATATTTTAATTTTAAGATTGCTAAGCAACACTTTGAAGTTCCAATCAGCGTACGTCTGTAAGCGCCTCCATATCCCTGGTTATTTTTCATTCTATAAGCTCCAGTAGTGTGCAAGGTCTTAGACGCATAGTAAGATTATACAAATGCAAAACCTTACTAGAATATGAACATAATCAATTGGTAAACAAAAGACAACGACATAAAGCACATAAAGCTAAAGTCAGACAAGTCCTGAATAAAAACAAATTTAGACTTATCTAGATGTTGATTACAGACCAAGTTAACAGCTTCCTTTGAGAGTAAGTTCAGCAAATCAGATGTTTCAAATTTAAGGTTATCAGCTGCAGACATCAGCCTACTAGAGAAAACTGGTTGCTGTCAAAGTGAATCTAGATTCCTTCACTTGTTTTTAACATTTAGCACATGAAACACACTGATGTGTGCTTACAAAAGGAACACCAATGTTTGGTTTCTGTATCTAGCCCAAGTCTTTATGTCCATATGAATAACACTGCAAAAACTATTTTATATCCAGGGTTATTTTTATGGTTGTACATCGCAATAAGATTATAATATAACTAGGTTGATGATCCCCAACTAAATGGAGAAAAAAATCTATAAACTCCAAATCGTTTCTTGGTTCCTTATTTTAAAAAAAACTGAAGAGATAAAGTATCCCAACAGAATGATGCAGCCAACACCATGCTTCAGAATGGGGTTGATGACCTTAGGGTAATTTATTTACACTTATTTTTCTTTTTCTACATTCTGTTTTGGTCTCACTTGATCAGAATACAGTCATCCAAATATGAGGTTAGCAACTAATAGTTGCCGCTGCAGCCCCACCAGACTTATGATGGAGAGCAGCGATTTCTTGCTCATTTTAAATACTGAAGCCTTTTTTTCTGTTTGACCCTGCTATAAGCATAGATGGCAAAAGTACTCACTTTCCGTACTTGAGTAAAAGTACAGATACTTGTGTTAAAAAATACTCTGGTAAAAGTGGAAGTACTGATTAAACTTCTTTACTCAAGTAAAAGTAACAAAGTATATGCTTGTAAATTTACTTAAAGTATAAAAGTAAAAGTAGAAACCACTTTTTTCATGCTGTTGCCTACATTTTAAATGGATGTCTGCCAATAGGACTAGATCTCTGTTGTGTTCATTTTCAATCATTTCGTCGTCCATGCTACTATGCTAACGCCACCGCCACCAAGCTGCAATGATTTGCCGCGAATGAATACCGCCGAATCTGTCGATTCATCTTGTAGTGGTGCAATAAATGCAACGTAGATTCCCATCCAATTAGATTGAATTTGGTATTGATGACGTGAAAAATAATAACGGTAACTCCATTGAAATGATTCAAAACTAAAGTAACGAGACAATTTTTAAAAATGTAAGGAGTAGAAGGTACAGATATTTGTGTAAAAATGTAAGGAGTAGAAGTAAAAAGTCGCCATAAACATTAGTAGTAAACTAAAGTAAAAATATTAGAAAAATCTACTTGAGTACAGTAACGAAGTATTTGTACTTCGTTACTTCCCATCTCTGGCTATAAGATACTACCTAGAAATCCTGCTGTTTGAGGTTGATGGCCCTCACAACTGAGTAAAAAGTAATCTTGACAAACATGAAATATTATATAACAAAAAATGTTTTTTTTGTCTACCCAGTTTATCCAGCATGTTTTTGCGTAGGTGGGCATGTGTTTATGTTTTTGTAAATTCTGCCATTCACTGGATTTCTCAGTAATGTCTCAGAGTGTGTCTGAGCAGCCATACGAACGGCTCGGCTGCTGAGTGCGAGAGGAGCAGAGGAGTGGGTGGGAGAGAAGATGGGAGGCCTGACCCTTTGCAGATGATTCAGTCAATGGTGTAATCACAAGCGTTCCTCTGAGTCTTCTGCACAAACAGGAGGTTAGCAGCAAGGCGCTTTTTCAGCCTCTTTCATCTGTGCGTCTGTTTAGTGTCTTTCTGAGTTCAGAGTTGCTGCTTTGCTCAGCTGAAAGTTCTCCTGGCTGTGTGTATGTGTGTGTATTTGTTAAATTGGCCCGGCTCCTACTCAGCAGCTTTATTAACTGATGTTCTGTACGTTTTATCATAAACTGGAGGGGTGCCTGCAATAATGATTTTTTTTAATCATATGCAAATTTGATAATGTTTCATAATGCACATTTATTATTTGTGTTGTGTAATTAATGTTTGAATGCCGTCGTCATGACATATGGACTTTTCCCATAAAACTATTGTTTCGGGGGATAAAAAAAAGGCAAAATGAGAAATATATTATTGTTTTATTGTGTTTTTATGACCTTCCTTCTTTGTATTTTATTATCCACAGTATGGTACTATGCTGGTGAAAAATGACTAATGTAAGCACTGTGCAATTTTCCCTTTACAATGATCTATTAAGAAATGTCTCTGCTGTTCCCTGTACATATAGTCTACACTTGTCAGTGAATAAATTGAGGGTAGTCTCAGTCTTTGTAACAATAACTTCTCTTGATTGTGTTGCTTTAACATTCACAAATGGTTTCTCTCCCACAGAAAGATGCATAATTAAAGGCAAACAATGAATATGTTATTCCTTGCAGCTGTTGTACCGCTGCTCTACTGATTCAACATTTTAGAGGCTTATTTTCTCATTATAAGTATAACATTAGCCTTTGTTTTTTAGGAAGTAAAAGTGTTTTATATTAGAGAAAAAAATCTGTCTTTTAGCGGTAGGTTTAGAATATCATACAGCGCTTTGCCTGATGGAAGAAAAAACAAAAAACACCAAACATGCAACTAGAAAGTTAAAATCAAATCACCTAATCTCAGATTTCCAAAAGACTGCTCTTCCTACTGAGCAACACTTAACCTATATCTAACTCCATAAATATTATAATAAATGTTCCAGACAGCAATCATAAGGTAGTTTAAGTTGGTTGGGAAGATACATTTTCATCACAATCTTTGGTTGTACTTTAACAAAATAGGAGGCATTTCACTTTAGTTTATTTCTATAGTGCAAATTTACAACATATGTCATCTCAAGGCATTTTACAGTTCACCAGATGATACACTCAAACTGATTCAAAGTTTTCTAAGGAAAACCAGTTGATTGCATCAACTCATTGACTCAAATGCAATCCCTCACACTAAGATTGCTTGTAGCGACAGTGGAGAGGAAAAATTCCCTTTTAACAGGAAGAAACCTCCAGCAGAACCAGGCTCAGTGTGAGCGGCCATCTGCTGAGGCCGACTGGGGTTCAAGGAGAAAGAAGCAGAGATATAAAAAGCAACTTGAAAGGCGGTCTCATCCAGGAAACACACAGCTAGGCAGACAAGCTCCGAGCCAACTCCAATGTCAGAGGATGAAGGGAGCACATCCAGCCAGTCACATTCAGCGAAACAGGACTACACTGGAAAACAGGCCGATCTCCAACATCTATAAACAAAGGTGTTGATGGAAGCAGCACAGCTGATGTTTCTTTCCAGGATGGCGTCACAGCCAAACAGGAACAGACGAGGCAAAGCTACTCTGAGAAAAAGCAGAGAGAGCAGAACTAACAGATTGTACAGAGTGGCGAGAATAGAGATAGAATGAAGCAGAATGATGAAATAGGGTTCCCTATGTCCTCCAGCAGTCTAAGCCTAAAGCAGCATAACTATAGAGATAGCTCAGGATAACCTGAGCCACTCTAACTATAAGCTTATCAAAAAGGAAAGTTTT